AAAGAAAAGAAAAGAAAACAATAAAAAAGGAGAGAACTTGACTCAAATAATATGCCTAAAAGGCAAACTTTAATTATTTTCCTCTTTGCATTTAAAAACTACAACTAGAACCATATATTTTAAACCGAAAGCATCTATATATTCCGTATTAGCTGGAATTACTAGTAAAACTAAAGTACAATAGCTGACCAAAAAAAATTAATTAATGTACTGTATATATGCATAGAATATGTATACATACATATATATATGTATATTGTTTTAATTCATTAAAAAGATTCAAGTGCATAATTATTAAAACATTCCTTGCTTGGTTGACATACATAGAATTTCTAAAAAAAGAACATATACCACTGAGACCCCCTTCCATACACAAATAGTTTGGTATAGTTGTAGAGAGAGTGAGGGAAAAGGAATTGTGAAAATTTGACATATAAATTTCAATACTCAACTTGCATTCAACCTAAGATTAATGACAATAAATAAGATAATTTTTCCATTGTATTTATACCACTTTATATATATATATATATATATATATAAAATTTTCTTACTGAATATGCCCTAATGCTCTCTTCATGAGAGATAGGCTTGGTATAAACACTGACATTTGCTATGCTCACATGTAGGCCAGGGTATGACTTTTGGGTCCTATTCAATGTGCACGCTAAGTATGACCTTGGGGTACTGTTTTAAGCCCGGTATGATCTTCGATACTTGACATGAAGTTTGGTCTAATGCACTAATAGTATCCTCATTCAGCATTTAGTGGGTGAGGATGTTGTTTTCCTTATTCCTTGCTTTTTCATGAAGTCTGGCATAGCAACTAGAAATGTTCAATAACTTAGGATACTTATAATAACATTTTTCTTACTTTTGTACCTTTATTTATACCCGTGTGGTAATTGTTAAATCTCTAAGTATAAATAGCCCTCTAAATTTAATGTTCTTATTTGTCATGGACATTGCTTGGCTGTATTTAGTGCTATAAGTGGACTTCTTTGGATTTAAGGTGCCTTAATTATAGTTTTATATGCAATATATCTTTTATATTTAATCTAATCCCTATTTCTTATAAAAAAATTAAACAATATTTTTTTATGAAAAATTTACTCACATCATATGCACACGTAGTATTCGGATCATTGAAACTTTGACAAGTATATAGTAATTTAATTATAACAAGGACTCTTTTTTCGACTTAGACCCGCATAATACAAGTATATAGTAATTTAATCACTTTTAATAGTATGATGTGGCCTAGACTCCTTACATAAAATATCTTTCTCTTATCTTATACAGTACGTACATAAAAATTTGACAAAATTTTAATTAAAAAAAGACAGATATTATGTACGAGTGAGTCTCATTCATTCATCATTCCCAGCCCTCTCACACGCTTCTCTCTCTCCCTAAAGCATGTCTGTTCCTTGAAGAGGAGAAAAAGTCTTTGTCTTTCCTTTAGCTTAATTAGCAGCTCCTCTCTTTACAGCCCACTTCCCCTTTTTTCTTTCTTTCTCCGATCTTTATATTGTCCCAGGGTTGGATTTTGAAGAATTAAGGCATCACCAGAAGATCGGTAGAATAAAAATGTTCCGTAAAGGCGATTATTTCAGGGAACAGTCTTTGAATCCGATTCCTGATCTCTCCCTTCACATTAGCCCTCCAGACAGTGCTCCTTCCTCAATCTGCACTGCCACCAATGATTCTTCCTTTGATATCCGCGGCAGAGACGATGGCATAAGGTCCCACAGCGACGGTTCCGTCAAACCTGCAGGTTCCCAAGCCTACACAGACCTCTCCTTAGCAAATCCGAACTCAGAAGCGGAAAACAGCCCCTGGACAAGAAATATCAATCAAGGGATCTCTTTGCTTGATGTTTCCGGCCTTAAACCCATAAAGGGGATTCCGGTGTACAACAACTGTATGTTCCCCATTTCAGGTTCGGATTTTCGAGACCTAGATCATAATAGGCTGCGGTTTTATCAAACACCATCTCCAATTACTCCAGCTAATTCTGCAGTCTTGCACTCGACTGATGAGCCTTGTAGGATAGGAAGTACTGCTAGGTTTAATGGGATCTCTTTGGAAACAATCAGACCCCGGTTTCAGTTTAACCAATATGGAGCGTCTTTGGCTTCTTCTGAGTTGTGTAATGGTATGAACAGATCAAGGTTTATACCTCCAAAGTTACAGAAGAGGAACATGAGGGCTCCTCGAATGCGTTGGACCAGCTCTCTTCATGCTCGTTTTGTTCATGCTGTTGAACTCCTCGGCGGCCATGAAAGTGAGGCGCTAATTTCTTTTTTCATTTTCTCATGTTACCTATTTTCTCACAATTGAGACATTACAGAAATCTAGAATTAGAATTTGATCCATGTTGTGGTTGTGTTTCTTACAGGAGCGACTCCGAAGTCAGTTTTGGAGCTAATGGATGTGAAAGATCTAACACTTGCTCATGTGAAAAGCCATTTACAGGTATTAAATTTGCTTCAAAAATTAATTTTTTTTTGTCTCAAGAACTCAGGCATGCACCCAGACTGAGGGTTTTCAGACTGGGGAGCTGGAACCGGACGAAATTGTCTAATCGTCTATGGCACAAGGGCCAATGGTTGCAGAGAATTGAATATAAACAGTGCTTGTTCTCAAACAGGACAAGTTCAACTTTCAAGAGAGAGAAAGAAAAAGGGGGGCCATCATTTCTCAATAATACAAAGCAATTACTCACCTCACCAAACATCAACCTCGTGGTTAATAAAACAAACCCAACAAAAACATTCATATAATATATATTTATATAATATGATTTGATATATTTGACCGCACCTCCTTTTTTTTTTTTTTTAATTCTGTTCCCATTTTGCTCACAGATGTATAGAACTGTTAAGAGCACTGACAAACCTGCAGCTTCATCAGGTAATTCGTATTGTTTATATTAACTGCATCATTTTGACCTAAATAGTTCCTTCAGTAAACAAACCTTCAAGATTTCTCTTTTTTTTTTTTTTTTCCTCAGATGGATCTGGAGATGAAGAATTTTTGCCTCCCAGAAACACCCCTGAGCACTGTTCATTAAACCGGAGTACTCGATCTGGCAGTCCAAATTTACCTAGAGAATATGTCAGTAATATTGCCCATTCTTCCCCTAATCTCTGGAGAAACTCTTCTTCTAGGTAAGTATATATATGCATCTTTATTAATGTTAGGTTCCTTTTTTTTAAGCTTAATTACTTTATGTTGCATTGCTTTAGTTCATGATTCTTTCAGATTTATGGATGCCTGTTTTTGTCTCCTATGCATGCTTTAACTTTGCACGTTCTTATTTCTCTCATGGAACAAAAAAGTTCGTCTTTTTTGCTTTTGAAAATTCTTTTTCTTTATTTTTTCTGCTTTCTTCCCAAATAGCTTTCGAGGTTGAATGAAATGTAAATAATTAATTTAAAAAAACCCTAGTAATTGAAGGTAAAATGGGACAAAGCCGAACAACCTGGGTACAATGTGCTTTTAAGTAGTTTACCTTTGTATATACTTTTTAATAAAGCTTAAACAGTAAAATTACTATAAAATGGTACTGCACTGAAATGCATAGCCATGACAACCCTAGCTTGGGGGTTAGGTGATGAATATAACTACTTTTACGGACAACATATAAGCTTTTTTTTTTTCTTTTCTCCTTCTTAGTTTTTGTGGATGTACAATTTTGCAGACCTGATACATCTTTTTTCTGCTTCGAAGGTGAGAGAATTGTGTTGACTAGAGATCGGGAATTGATAAAAGAAAAATGTTTTTATTCTTTAATATTAAAACAAAACTATGTTTGATTTTTTTTTTTTCAAAATTCAAAACTATATATATTTATATAAGAAAAATCTATAACAATCTCTAATTTTAAAAAATAAAGTTTTAACTTTAAATGATGTGATTTATATAATTAAAATTTAATTCAAAATATAAAAATTTATCTTATTAAATATTAATTTTTATATTTAAAAATTAAAAACTTAATTTAACATTTAA